ATTGATCCTTCTTAAAAAGAAAAAAAAATTCCTTGAACATTTTTTATATACCATAATTTGCATTTTTTATGCGCCAATTAATCATTATTTCTTCTTTGCAAATGTGGGTTAGGCCAGTGTGCCACCAATCGGGATGCCCATGAGATTTAAAACAGGTTTCCCAAGTGTGTTTTGGGTTGCCACAATGAGTGCATCCATATTCATGTTAGTATGAGCCCTTGGTCGAGGAGGTTGTGTAGTCGGGTGTGAAGGTGAGCCAACAACTATGACATAGGACTGCATCTGAAGCAGCACAACGATAGAAGAAGGCAACTGGCCGGGTTGACCAGTCGCCGAGGTGTGACCGATTGGTTGGTGAGTTCCCTTGGCCGCCAAACCAACCACAATCGGCGAGTGAATACCCATCATCACAGCTTGTCGGAGATCTTCGCGTCGAACATAAGCATATTCCTACTACACGATGGGAAACCGAGCCATCTGAAGGACATCACTTCAGGCCTTGTCAAGTCGGTCATCCAAGCCATCCAAGAAGATATAAACACGGTCTTCCTGAAAGTCGTTGTACCACTGAATATAAAACGACTCTTGTCCCGACTGCTTTGTTACTTTGATTAGTGCGTTCGGAAACAGTTTTTGGTTTATGAAAAATCAATTTTGTGTGTGAATTTTTTTTGTTAATCTTTACACCAAATTGGATTATAACAGGTTTAGTACTTTTGGTTTATAAGTCATCTATGTCATAAATATTTTCTTTCTAATCTGACATAGTCTTGGAAGAAAAAATCTTTTGCCCAAATTGGAAACTAAGCCAAGAGCCATTCTAGGAAATTCATGTTCTAAAGCTTAGCAGCTTAATAATTAATTACTAATTATAGGATGGTTGACCTACATTCAACATCTTAATTGGCCAAATAAATATTAACGGTGATGAGTTCCAATGGGAGTATAAATTGGGCTGAAGGCAATGGAGTTTCATCATACTCCAAAGAAAAAGGAAATAACAAAGTCTCAAGATGGGTTTGAAACTGAAAAATGTATTGCCAATGTTTGTGTTCTTGTTGTTAGCATCCACAGCTAAAGCTCAATCTGCTGCCTTAGATGTGACAAGTGCAAAATATGGTGGAAAGCCAGACTCTGATATTACCCAGGTAAAAAAAACATTTAATATTCATATTCGGTTCTGATTAGAATTTGTTTCTACAATTGTTTGCCAAACTAAATGATTAACAGTTTTAAATTTGCGTAATGTTAATTAGGCTTTAGAGAAGGCTTGGATAGATGCAGAATTTGAGGTTCCACTTCCTCACCAATTCCAAAATTTTGGACGTAACTTCAAAAGATAGTAAAAATTTCCACGTCAATCTTTTGAAGTGTGAGAAGGTTGAAATCAATGGATTTGCCGTCTCAGCACCTAAGGAAAGTATTAACACTGATGGAATTCACATCGGACATTCAACTGGGATCAACATCACTACACAACCATCGGAATTGGGGATGATTGTATTTCGATCGGTGACGGTACCAAGGACATCACTGTGACCAACGTTACTTGTGGGCCAGGCCACAGCATAGCCATCAGGAGCCTTGGAAGGTACCTAGAGGAAGCACCCGTGTCCGGCATCAACATTAAGAACTGCACCTTGATTGATACAACGAATGGTGTGAGGATCAAAACATGGCCTGCTTCCCCAAAAGATGGCACTGCCTCGGATATTCACTTTGAGGATATTACCATGGTTACTATTGGTAACCCTATCCTCATTGACCAAGAGTACTGCCCATGGAACGAATGCAAAAAAGGGGTATCAATCTATAACAATTTATTAACATCATATATATGTTCCTTGTTAATCAAGTCATCATTTACTTAATCTTTGAAAGGATTTAAATTAATCAATTAATGAATTGTTTTGTGTAGGTTCCTTCCAAAGTTAAGATCAGCAATGTTAGCTTCAAGAACATCAAGGGCACATGTACCGACCCAGTTGTTGTGTAGCTTGTATGCAGCCAAGGCCTGCCATGTGAGAATGTGGAATTGAGTGACATTGATCTCAAGTACACTGGAAACAAAGGCCCTATTACCTCTGTGTGTTCTAATGTCAAGCTGACAATTAATCGCGTGGCACAGCCTCTTGCTTGCGCTACCGGCGTTGCTGCTGCTTGATCTAGCAAGCACAAACCATGCTGCTGATGTTTCTTCAGAGATACATTGGTTGTATGCTCTTCAATTTTGTGCTAATTGTACTTGGTGTTTTCATCTAAGAGTGGGAAAATATCTTAGTACATTCTTAAAAGTGATGAATAAATTAGTAGGAATTAGATGAAAATAATCAGCAAGCGCCCCTTCCTTTCTTAATTGGAATGGTGGGTGGTGGACTATACATACGCATGCAACGGTATAGATGTTGTCTTATGTATATATATAGAGATAAATGTACTATTGTTTTTCGCTGTTGTTAATCATGGGAAAGAGAAAGAAGAAGGATTATTAATTCAAGTCATGTGTTGAGTTTAAATACACATTAAAAAAAACTTAAAAATTTGCTTTGAACATTTGTTATCTACTGTCATTTGCATTTTTTATGCGTGCCATATTAATCATTCTTTCTTCTTTGTAGATGTTGATTAGGACAAAACAATGTGCCAATCCCTTTGCACCCGACAAAATAATGTGTTGAGTCTAAAGTTGTTCGTTGTACTTTGTCTCTTCTCTTGTGTTGCTTCCTGTAGACTTCTCTATTTCTAGCGTCATTCGTTATTGGAGGTGGATAGAGCTGGTGTGCTTTGTGGGTTCCCTCTTTCTTTCTGGAGCTTTGGTGTGTTCTCTGTCAAATGCTCTCACTATCTTGTGGCTGTGCAAAGGACTATGATATCATAGCAGGACTCTTTTGACTGTTGGGTTGTGTTGAAGTGTTTTCGTCAGAGGTCTTGTGTCATTGTTGTTTTGCTTTGCTTTTGTATTGGTCTAACGTGACTGTATCGGACTCTCTTGTTAGTCCATGACATGTGTGATACTCTTTCCTACCCTGGGGTTTGTTCCCTAGAAAGAGTTTAACGAGGCCAATGAATCGTGTCGTTCTATGTACGCTATTTCGGTTCTATGAATAAAATCCATTTCTATAAATAATAAAAACTATAGGGCGGCATAACAAAACTTAATTATACTTTATACAACCAGACAATTTTTCAAATTTTTATCAACTTTCTCACAGAAACATGTCTACAACTTTCACAAATATATCAATGAATCTCACCATACTTGGAGAAAAAAGAGATGAGTTAGGAAAAAAAACAGACAAACTAACAGCTAAATAATACAGTAGAAGTTGCACGAAAACATTGCTTGCAACTAATTGATGCCTCCTTCAAACAAAAAACAAAAAAACAAAAAAGCTTCTAGATGCCTTGGACAAAAGTAGCTATGAATTTGGTTTGATATGTTAGTGGTGGTAAGCTTTCCAACCGGACTTTATATAAATTGGGTTGATACGAAAATGGAGTACATAAAACTTAACTTAATAATCCTCAACATCACATTTACTTGATCCACCAAACAAGGCTCCTTCTATTCCATTATTCAAAATCTCAACCTTGACATAATCACAATCAACCCTCAATAGCCTTCTCTCCTAATGCAGTCCTCCACCAACCCAACAACACCCTGCATCGCCACGCCAAAAGCCACAATTCCTCCCCTCAAATCCTCAACCTTGGCAGCCCCCACGTGATCCTTGACAAACACCGAAGATGCGACAAGGCTTGCATGAACTGACTCATTCTTGGGGCCTGCAGTTTCGTTGAAAACAACGTTTGTCATGGTGAGAAACTCCTTCTGATAGAAAACAGAGATTTGCATGGCATCGAAGTAGATGCTCTTGTCCTTGTAATGGTTTTTAGCAAGTAAAGTGATGGACCAATTTGCAGTTACAGAAGAGGAGTAGACTATGAAGGGAGAGACCGAGAGAGAGTTTATATGGAATTCAATGTCATGATGCGAGGACAAGTTTAGAACTATTACTAGAGCCAATACAAAACCCGCGATTCCGAGGGTTGCCACAAGCCATGCCATCAAGTTAAACAACTTGGTGCACCCGTGGCAAAGCTGGCGGAGGTCCGCGTGTTGGTGGCCGCCTTCATGGTTGCTATGGTTTTCTTGATGGAGGAAACAGCTTGACTTACTTGGAGGGGAAGCATGAGGAAACGTTCAAAACCCTTCTGAAAAACAAAAAAAAACTTTATATATTGGAAACTTAGAAAATTAATTATTTGGGTATGGAGAAAGACTATTATACCCTCATTATATTGGTGAAGATCTGAGTCGAGATATGAGGATATGATAATAATCTTTTTGGGTGCAAGAATGGGTAGTTTTCTAACTTAAGAGAAAAGCAAAAGAGAAGTCATTTTTGTGATATATGAAGTTTGTAATAATCTAGTGAAAATAAGAGAAATATGATTTATGGCTCTACTAGTTAAGAAGAAAAAAATTAAATATATATATTCTTTAATCATTTTAATTTCTTCTGGATATAAAAAGATTTTTCAATAGTTTGATTAGTTGGGGAGGTAATTCTCATGTCACGACTGCTTTGTTACAAATTATGGTCAAGAATTGATTAGTGTGTTCGGAAACAATTTTTTTTTTAATCTTTGCATCAAATTGGATTATAAGTGATCCATGTGTTAAATCTTTTCTTTCTAATCTGACATATCCTTGGAAGCAAAAATCTTTTCCCCAAACTGGAAACTGAGCCAAGCGTTATTGTGTGGTGTCTTGGGGTAGACGGCAACATTAGAAAACAGCCTAAGAACCGTTCCCTGGCTCGTAGGTAATTCATGGCTGAGCTGCTTAATTAATATTACTAATTATAGGATTAAATCTTAAATCGTTGACGGTGTTTAGCTTCTTAATGGCCTCTCGTATAATTTGACTGTGTTTAGCTTTCCGATCAAAGTATAAATTGGCCTGAAACAAAATGTAATTTCATCAACTTCCAAAAAAAAAGAAAAAAAAAACATAAAGTGAAAAAAAGAAAAAAGAGAAAAAGAGTGAAGATGGGTTTGAAACTGAAAAATGTCTTGCCAGTATTTGTGTTCTTGTTGTTAGCATCCACAGCTAAAGCCCAAACAGTCTTTGATGTGACAAGTGCGAAATATGGTGGAAAGCCAAACTCTGATATTACCCAGGTAACAAACATTAATTTCCATATTCAGTTCTGATTAGAATTTATTTCTATAATTGTTTGCTAAACTAAATCATTTACTAGGTCTTAATTTTGGTTTAATGTTTCGAATTAGGCTTTGAGCAAGGCTTGGACAGATGCATGTGCTTCAACATCACCAAGTAAACTTGTTGTTCCAAAAGGAACATTCAAGTTTTTAGGAACAACTTTTAAAGGTCCTTGCAAGGCTCCTATTGCGTTTCAGCTCCAAGGAACATTGCAGGCTCCAGCAGATGGCAACCAACTCCCAAAGAAGGATACTTGGATTAGTTTCGACCACATTGATCGGCTCACCATATCAGGTGGTGGAACTTTTGATGGCCAAGGAGCAATTTCTTGGAAACAAAATGATTGCCACAAAAACAAAAATTGCAAATCTATTGCCATTGTAAGATAATCTGATCCTACCCTGATTCGAATCTTGGTCATTGATCAATTCTTAACTTGATGCGTGATCCAAATTCACAGTATGACAATATCAACATTTGTCTAGAGAAAAAAAAATTACTCATATGCGTTCGATTGTTTTCTCAATATATATGTGCAGAATTTGAGGTTCAACTTCATCACCAATTCCAGAATTGAGTACGTAACTACAAAAGATAGCAAAAATTTCCATGTCAATGTTTTGGGGTGCACCAATGTTGCATTCCACCATTTCACCGTCTCAGCACCTAAAGAGAGCATTAACACAGATGGAATCCACATTGGGCGTTCAACTGGGATCAGCATCATTGACTCAACCATCAAAACTGGGGATGATTGTATCTCAATTGGCGACGGTACCAAAAATCTCAACGTGACCAACGTTACTTGCGGACCAGGCCACGGAATAAGCATCGGGAGCCTTGGAAGGTACCCGAAGGAAGAACCCGTGTCCGGGATCACAATCAAGAACTGCACCTTGACTGATACACAGAATGGTGTGAGAATCAAAACATGGCCTGCTTCCCCAGCAGCTGGTACTGCCTCAGATATTCACTTCGAGGATATTATCATGGTTAATGTTGGTAACCCTATCCTCATTGACCAAGAGTACTGCCCATGGAACCAGTGCACACTAAAGGTATATATAATAATTTGTTAACATCATATGTTCCTTGTTAGTTAAGTCATCTACCTAATCTTTAATTAATACTAATGGTAATATTAATTGTTCTATGCAGGTTCCATCCAAAGTTAAGATCAGCAATGTTAGCTTCAAAAACATCAGGGGCACATCTACCACTCCACTTGCTGTCAAGCTTGTATGCAGCAAAGGCCTACCATGTGAGAAAGTAGAACTGAGTGACATTGATTTAAAGTACACTGGAAACCAAGGCCCTCTTACCTCTAAATGTACTAATGTCAAGCCCACGATTACTCGCGTGACAAAGCCTCTTTCTTGTGCAACCTCTGCTTGATCTAACAAGTACAAACCATGCTGATGTTTCTCCAAAGGTGGAAAATATCAGTACGTTTTTGTTGTGAATAAATTACCCATGAGCCTTGCTCAAGTGACATGATATAGGTGGGGTGAGGGGGTAGAGGTTTTATGTTCTAACCTCCTTGTAATTATTTTTTGTTCTGTTTTTCTTTTTTTCATAAATCCATGTTTCCCTAGTTTCGTGCCTATGTGCCTACTTAGGTTATTGGAGTAAATAACTATACATAGTAAGTTTAAACAGTTGAAAATTCATGTACTATATGGCATGTCATCTTCTTCTTCGTTTTTTCTCCAGGAAACTATGGTTGTTTAAAACTAGGGTAATGAAGATAAATTTGAGATCTATCAAATCGAAGTTCATAATCTGATTGCATTTTCATGTTCGTCCAGTGGGATTTCTAGTTTCTAGATTTTGAAATAGGCAAGCATGCGCACTTTTTACCCTCTTTTTCAAAGGAGGAATAAGTAGCAAGTTTCTAAGAAAAATAGAACACCTTTTCTTGCGAGAGAAGAAATAAAGCTTAACCTTTTTTTGTTTTCGTTTTGAGAAAATGAAAACGAAAAAAGAATTTCAGTAGTTATAGTTGGTATAACCAAACCACTGGTTATTTCTATCTGAAATCACTGGTTGTTTTGTTAGCTCCCAAAAGTCTTCCAGAAATTTCTTTCCCTCAAGTGATATTAGAAAGATAAAAAATGCAAACATGTTTTTCATCGCCAAGACTCACATCGTTGATGTCTTTACCGAACTGGGCCCTTACCCTTTGCATGTTTCCTTATTCAAAAGGGTGTTTTTTTTCCTTGTTGCTCTTACCCTTTTCATAATGTCATAGCATTCCTGATTCAAAAAAGGAAAAGAAAAGCCTCTCCCTTATAAGTATCAGGAGTTTGTTTCTCTCCAATCACCACCTCACATGAACCCGATAGTCCACAGTTACAGACAATTGCTCACAGCAATTCAGATAGGCATCTACTTCGCATTCTCAAGGAACCACAATCTCCTCTCGCCCTAAGCTAATGGGTATGTGTGCCTAAACTGTATTCTTTTTTCGTTTTCACCAATATGTCAATCATTTCTCTCCAATCACCACCTCACATGAACCCGATAGTCCACAGTTACAGACAATTGCTCATAGCAATTCAGATAGGCATCTACTTCGCATTCTCAAGGAACCACAATCTCCTCTCGCCATAAGCTAATGGGTATGTGTGCCTAAACTGTATTCTTTTTTCGTTTTCACCAATATGTCAATCTCAAAGTTTTATGTGAAATTTGACATGAAAGTTAATTGTTCAAGATGTTTTTTTGGGTTAAAGTTACTGTCGTAGTTTGGTTTGAATCGATGATTTCTTTTAAAAAAAAAATTTCCAACTCTGCCAATTTTCAATGAAATCTCCTGCACCTTTCTATTTGTACAGTTTAATTTTACTCTCCGTTACTAACTATTATCATGTTTCTTTTTTCTGGTTATGCAGCTGGCTGGATATTTGTGTTCTTCTTGTTAGTTTCTATAGCTAAAGTCCAATCCAGTGTCTTCGATGTGACAAGTGCAGCATATGGAGGAAAGCCAAACTCTGACATTACCCAGGCTTTGGCCAATGCTTGGAGAGATGCTTGTGCATCAACATGGCCAGCTAAAGTTGTTATTCCACAGGGCACATACTATACGAGAGGAGCAATTTTGCAAGGTCCTTGCAAGGCTCCTATTGATGTTCAAGTTCAAGGCAACCTCAAGGCCCCACTGGACAGCAAATATCTCACAAAGCAGGATAGTTGGGTTGGTTTTCAATACGTTGACAGGCTCACCTTATACGGCGGTGGAACTTTTGACGGCCAAAACAATTGCTACAAAAACAAATACTGCAAAACTACTCAAGCTGTTGTAAGTTCATTAGATCAATCCTTGCTGTTATTTATTTCTTGGATATTAAGTTATAATCTATGAATACATGTTGCTAAATTCTAATGTTGCTGTCTGTTTGGCTAATGCAGAATCTGAGGCTCGATTTTGTCTCCAATTCCATGATCCGGGACATAACTTCACTTGACAGCAAAAACTTCCACATCAATGTTTTGGGATGTCGCAATGTCACATTCCAATATGTCACCATCACAGCGCCTGAAGACAGCATCAACACGGATGGAATTCATATTGGGCGCTCATTCGGGATCACCATCGATCACACAACCATCGGCACAGGGGATGATTGCATTTCTCTAGGTGACGGAAGCCAGCAAATCATCGTGACCAACGTTACTTGTGGACCGGGCCACGGCATAAGCATCGGAAGTCTAGGAAAATACCAAAGCGAAGACCCTGTGGCCGGAGTACTAGTCAAGAACTGCACCCTGACTAACACACAAAATGGTCTGAGAATCAAAACATGGCCTGGCTCCCCTGGATTCGGCATTGCCACACACATTCACTTTCAAGATATTGCCATGGTCAATGTTGGAAACCCTATCTTCATTGACCAACAGTATTGCCCATATAGCCAGTGTGCACAGAAGGCTCCATCTACAGTCCAGATCAGCGGCGTCACCTTCGCCAACATTAAGGGCACTTCTGCCACACCAGTTGCTGTACAGCTTATGTGCAGTAGAAAATTACCATGCCAGAATGTATGGTTGGAAGATATTGATATCAATTACAATGGAGACAAAGGGCTGCTTACCTCTCAATGTGCTTATGTGAAGCCCCAGTTTACTCGGGTGGCAAATCCTCTTGCTTGTGCTACCAATCCCTTTTAGTCTTAGAAGTAGAACAAGTCATCTTCTCTCTAGATAGATTGATTTTGTTTCCTTTTTTTTTTTTTTTTTGGGGGAATTGTATAGTTCAAAAAGTTTGTTGGCTCTTATTATTAGGTTTGCCCTTTTAGGTTTATAAATTGTTGTTCAAATTTAAAATCTTATTTTTATGCATAATTTTTTTTTCTTCAAGTTCAGATTGAGGCTGATTTATTTTATGTATGTATGTGATAAAAATCCATGCCCTGCTAAAAACATTCATCATCAGCGCTCATCTCTCCAATCTCTAAAATTGGTTCTTATCCTCTTTTCATTTTGGTCTAAAAAGCTATCTCCATTAAGTTGAAGTCTGATTTCTTTGATTAGCTTCTCCAAATTTATTGTTTTGATAAGAAGAGAAACATTACTAGCCAAACTTAAGTCTGAATTCCATATTTCACGGTTTGAAATAGGTAGGTTTACTGGTGTTTGGTCATAGTACAAGTTATAGGAAATATTTTTGCTCACCACTTTAACCCAAGGTGTATGCTCACCCCCATTCTTAATACTTGACATGTGTCCATAGACATAATCATAGTTAATCTTTACTTTAATTTATGTAACCATGGTTATGCTCACATTTCAAGTGTTAAGAAGGATTGTGAGCATACACATTGGGTTAAAGTGGTGAGCAAAAATGCTCCCCAAGTTATATACCTAGTGTTTGATGTTTCAAGTTTACAAGCAAACAAGATCTTGAAAAGAGAAATAACACTATCTTTTATTCGCTAATGATGCTTTGCTTGCTTGGTAGAACCCAAAACATGTGTTAATAATTTTTATTTATTTTTTCATATTTCCTTGTGTCTACAATCTATGTTGTGTTTGATTTCATGATTGTTGTTGCTTTTGGCTTGCATAATTAAAAAGTATCTTTCTTTCTTATTACTAGTTCATTTGTTCTCCTCTAACTTTATAAATTTGTGCCCCCATTAAGGATTTAAATTGAAATAATTTTTTTCTTTAAAACTAAAATATGTAATTCACATGTCACTCTCTAGAAGTGACATCCGAAACTCTCGTGTCATTGTCAGCCAATAACATGTATAATCTCTCTTTCTTGTTCTATTTTTCAATTTAAAGACACACAAACTTTCAATTAGTTCGAGTAATATGATTACAATTCTACATTATTTTTGTTGTTTTGTTAGCACTGTGGTTGATATGTTAATTCATAAATAAATAAATAAATTCATAGCAGGTTTTTTCGTTGTTCCGATGATTGTTAATGGATGCCCAAATCACAAGGACGGTGGAGTAGAGCTTGCATACCTTTAAAACAAAAGTTAAAACACCACAATGATCTTGTTATCAAAATAATTGAATAATTTTGTTATTAAAATAATAAGGCATTAAAAAGTGGACCGGCTTGAAACTACAAGCTTTCTCGCAAGAAATCTATTTAGTTGCGGGAACCCTAAACCTTAGCTTCCCACCAAATAGATTTCTTGCGAGAGAAGAAATAATGCTTACCCTTTTTTTGTTTTTCTGGAAGGAAAATATTCAAATTAAAGGTGGTTTTTTTGGGTTGTTGCTCTTATCTTACCCTTTTCATAATGTCATAGCATTCCTGATTCAAAAAAGGTAAGATAAGAGAAACAAACAAAAAAGAATCTCTTATAAGTAGCAGCAGTTTTTTTCTCTCAAATTACCACCTCACACGAACCCAACAGTCCACAGTTACAGAGCAATTCAGATAGGCATCTACTTGGCATTCTCAAGGAAGCACAATCTCGTCTCGCTCTAAGCTAATGGGTATGTCTGCCTAGCCTTATATTCTTTTTTCTTTTTCACCAATATGTCAATGCAAAGAATGTTGGCGAGTTCTTATTAAAGAAGAATATACATATGAGCATATCTGAATATATCTGAGAATTCCCATACACTTTGTTTGACAAAGAAATCGAAGTTTTATGTCAAAGTTTTCAACAAGATGAATGAGTAGGCACAGCACACACATGACACAGATTTTCTGAAAGGTGGTATAATGTTTTTTTTTTCTTTTCTGGTTTATGCAGCTGGAGATTGGATATTTGTGTTCTTATTGTTAGCTTCTATAGCTAAAGTCCAATCCAGTGTCTTCGATGTGACAAGTGCAGCATATGGAGGAAAGCCAAACTCTGACATTACCCAGGCTTTGGCCAATGCTTGGAGAGATGCTTGTGCATCAACATGGCCAACTAAAGTTGTTATTCCAAAGGGGACATATTATTTGAGAGGAGCAATTTTGCAAGGTCCTTGCAAGGCTCCTATTGAGGTTCAAGTCCAAGGCAACCTCAAGGCTCCACTGGACAGCAAATATCTCACAAAGCAGGATACTTGGGTTGGTTTTCAATACGTGGACAGGTTCACCTTATATGGCGGTGGAACTTTTGATGGCCAAAACAATTGCTACAAAAACAAATACTGCAAAGCTACTGATGCTGTTGTAAGTTCTTTCGATCAATCCTTGCTGTTATT